AAAAAAAAAAAAAAAAAAAAAAAAAAAAAAAAAAAAAAAAAAAAAAAAAAGAGAAAAAAAAACAGGGTGAGTTGGCCTGCTGTTTTGGTAAAAGATGACTAATGTTGAGTTAACAATGGTGGGCTCAGTTTGTATGGATTTGAGCAGATGTGGTACATTGCGGGATTGGTGTTAAATGTTATTATATGTGGAGTTGCCAGATTTTCTGAAACAGTCTTGTTTTATATGTGGTCATTGGCTGAATGAGGATGGAGCAGGTTTTTAAACATGGCCTTCCCAGATTTCTCAAATAGAACTTGGGGTTTGTGCTTGAATGGCTTTTGACTAAACATAGCTTGAATTATTTCGTATTTTTTTTGTCTAGAGGAATCAAACATTCTTCATAAGTGTGTAAACCTCTCTTTTGCATATGCATTTTAAAAAATTTGAGTGGAAGCTTGACAAGGAAAGCCCAAAAAAAGAAAGGCTAAAAGGAGAAAGCTTAAAAACGGCCACATCTGTACTATATACTTGTGCTTTACAAGGCTTAAGCGTTTAGTTGAAAACTCAAAATTGAAGGCTCTCGGCAACTCCCCATTTGCAACCAGATGAATGTTGTCCGTTTGCTGTTCCAAAATGATTGATGTCTCATTAAATTGATTCCCAAGTCAATATAGAAACTGTGCCATACTTTTTTAAGGGAGAGATTATATGTTATTATTTATGTTTACATGTACTACAGAATTTCTGCTTATTATACATATATACAATGACATCTTTCCAATAATATGTTTATGCTTTTAACTGAACAATACCTTTCATATGCTGTACTCTCTTCTTTATAGCCCATAAAGAAGCAAACAATGGCGCCCTTGAGTATGCATCTCTAGTAGCCAAAAAGTTGCAGTTGTTCGACAATCAACCACTGTCATCGAGTCGAGTTGAGCTCCATCTCTACCATTTACGGAGTCGCCATCTTCATTCGACAAGCACATAATCATCGTCAGCTATGAAAAAATCTCTTGCGGTAGGACGCATATTATTACGAGTAAAAGATGTTCGTTCATACCTGAGCATGAGTTTCTGCCTCGTGTTGAAACATTTTAACCAACTCCTGCAGTTCCAGCTTCCTGACCTGAACCTTACCTTCTTCCATGGGCTTCTTCAAGCCGAGGTAAACCAGGCCTCCTCCTATCAGTACAATCCCTAAGAAGAATAGGATAGCTGAAAATATTCCAAATGCATATGGTGTATCTCGTGCTCCGGGGATCCCATCTACGTTGATTCCGAACAGCCCAGTTATAATGGAAAGAACAAGGCCACAGCCACCAATAACAGCCAAGTTATGAGTTATTCGGAGGCTTTTATCCTGAATAATTGTCGTGTGAAAGAAAGTGAAACCAATCAGAAATCCATAAGAGTAATCACAAAGGAAAGAGTAAATCTAATTGAAAACAGGCATACAACAGAAAATAAGACTGTATTTCTTATAATTTAAGAAATTGCAGGCGCGCTTCAAAAGAAAATTTGAAAACAGTATCTGAAAAATGAATCTTGGATTTATAACTCCGAAACCTATGTTCTGCAGTCAATTTCTTTTCCTATCAATCTTGGTCAAATAATAATTATGATTTTCATTCAGAATTTGGTTTCAAATTTTTAGAGGATTTAAAAAATAATAATAATGACAACAAACTCATAGTAAAGACTAATATTAAGATTTATAAGGAAGCTTTATAGAACAAGTGACAAAAGTACGTACCAAAATGGTTATTGGTGTGGCCTAAGTAACTTAAAGGAGAAATCCTCAATAATCAACTCGGCAATCTTTATAAGAAAATGAAAGGTGTAAAGAATACATAAAAGGGACTCTAAAATTAATAGCAAACTAAATTCCGCGAAACAAAAAATGAAAAGGACAATTAAAATCGTAGAAAACTAAAAGGGATTAACCATAGAATTAACAAGGCTAACCATTATTTTTCCTAATTCTCCCTTCATACGTCATATTTAAACCCACATCTGATTTTGAGAGCGGCAACTCAGCATCAACAAAATTCCAGCCACAAATTCAAATTAATTAGGATTAAAGTAAGAAGGGAAAACGAAAAAAAGCAAATCAGTCGAACCATCCTTCAAAAACCATAAAGATAAAATAACTATAGAACTAGAACTTGTAAGATCAATAACTTCAAGATTTGTATTTGGGGATTGTGAATCTGAAGACCCCTCAGCATGAGATTTTGCATATTTGTTTATGGATTTGGAGAGGGAGGGATGGAGGGTGAAAATATGCTTTAAAAGTACAAAAAGTTCCATAAAAAATCTCACGTCATTTGTTCATAAGTTTGAAATGAAAAAGAAGACGTTGAAAGGATGTTCTCACATAAAATACTAATTTTAAAATTCATTTTCATCAATTTAGTCCGTCAATAACAAATTTAGTGCATTCTTAGGGTCCGTTATATTAAAAAAAATATATATAAAATCATGAACAGATTAAATACCAGATGATCATAGATTATCATAGAATCAATTACCTGTAACCATGCACGAACGTTACTCTGCATGACATCTTGAATGGTGAATAAACGATCACGAGCTGCTTCTTGTTCTTCAATCATTTGTCTAGTACTCTTACTTATGCGCTCCAATAAGGTTTTTGTCATATTCCCTCGTAAATGTTGAAGAAGCTCATATACAATCTCCTCCCTCGCATGCAGCGACCATTTTACTCTGATAACCTGAAATTGCCAATCTTTGTTTCAAAAGACTACAGAGATGTACAGGGCACAAGATCACACCTGCGTCCTTTTATTAATCAAACGACAGAAAGTGGTATTGGCATGTGGTGAGGGATATCGATTGACGGCTATACGCTTACAGACATATTTTATCATAGGAAACAAAGCTACTTTCAAAGTGAAAAGGATCAAATGATTAGGAGGAAGAGATACGCTCGAAGGGGCAAAATGATATCCAAGAAATAAACGTTTACCAAACAAACGAGAGGAAGATGAAATATATAACTAAATAAATAAAATTCAATAGAATAAACATTTTTAGAACAGTAAGTAAATGCTTCGGACTCTTTTGAACTAACATAATCATTATCTGGTTTCTCTCCTGACCAAAGCACAATTTGGAAAAGAAAAAAGAACTGAAATAACAAAATCCAAAAACACTACTTTTCTTATACCAAGCAACCACCGGTTATATCCCAACCAACGATTGAGTCAATGGGAACACTATTTAGAAAAGCAGACATCAAAGAAAATTTTCAACAGCCATCGAGTGTAGTGATGAGAAAGCATACCTGTCTTGATAATTTTCTGATTTCTTGATTCAAGATTATACTGAAAAGATGCATATCTTCATGGTTTCTCCTATATTTATTAGGGGCAAAAATCAAGGAGTCTTCATGAGAAACATGCGGATCAAAAGATAAACCAATATGATATCACTTTAATAGATGACATACAAGATAAGAACCTGTCCATAAATTTCAATTCAATCTCATCTGCTGCTCCAAATATGGACTTTCGAAATAACCTGTAAGAAAAGAGAGAATTGAATTTAAATGTCAGGCATTGTATAGTAGAATATTTGACAACAGAAATAAGACTCAACTTCAGAAAGATGCCAATATGTTTCGAATTCTTTTTTTTTTTTTTTTTTAATTACAAGAAACAACACTTTTCACTAAAGGAATAAAAAGAGTCTAATGCTCAAAAGATAGAAACTCCAAAGGAAAAATGAAAGTATTCCAATTCAAGCTAATATCCTATAAAAAAAACCACAAACTATTTGAAAGATAATACCATGAAGAAGCTTTAAGATGAGCTGACAATATAAAGGAGAGGGCATATCTTTTGTCAACCATACAGATTAAACTATTACTACTCACAGCAATAATAGCTTTATCATTTATGCACTTGGGGCTCAATAAGATGGAGACGAGACAACTCATGGTAAGAAATAAGGAATATTAATTTTGTCCATGAATCTATAATAATTATTGACGGGTCAACTATGCAACTGCAGTTTAACTTTTTAAAACGAAGTTATTACCTGTCATCCCATCTTGTAAGACGGCAAGCTAGATGTGCTATAACTTCATGCACTGTTCTTGGTGCATTATAATCTCCTACTATCAGAAGCTCCTAACAAGAACAAGAAATCAGAAATAATAATTATGAAATTGTCCAGCTTTTCCAGCACAGAGGCAAAATGAATTATCTCTTTTATGGAAAATAACCTGAACTTCTGTGATGCCTAAAACGTTTATGTTTGATATCGGTCCTTTAACATGCAATGACGTTATCAGGAAGTTCTGAGCTTGCCATGACCGAAGTACAATGGGAATGTCATCCTCGTTACTGAATGGATCACCAGCAGATTGTCCTAAGAGTTCAAATAGCAGTCCTCCAGCTACCCTTACTGGAACCTGTATGGAAGTAAAAACATACAACCATACAAACAAATGGTTAGTAGTTCAAAAAGCGCATATTCATGAAAATCTGAAACCATCATTAATAGAAATGATTAGTTGTTGCGGGACAGTATTCTTGTCTATTCAGGCACGACGGTCAGCTAGGTGCTAGTTTAGTTATTCACAGATTTATTAAGATAACTATAGCAACTTAAAACATTTGAGTTGACTAATAACTTCAACGAACATAATAAACAAGCAAACAAATAATTTTGGGTTTAAGAATGAAGGCTTTGGTCTGGTGATACAAGAGATATCATTTTGGCCAAAAGAATGTGTGTATGAGCATGCGCTTTTATTCGCAACTGAGAATGAATGATTTTAATAGAGATATTTCAAACAAATTGATTTTCACAAGTTGAGCAATCCTTATAGAATAGCTCCACATACCCAGGCTTAAACTTTTAGATTTTCCAGAGAACTTATACAGTATACCTAGAGATCTCGGTTTTATATCCTGAAATTGTAAAAAGACTAGGGACTTATTGGCAAATTATTTCCAAACAACCATATATTTTTAATATCAAAACCGTGATTAGCTGACCAACAAATATAAATGCTATGTTATATTTGTTATTTGCAAACCATGATTTAGAAAGAAAGAATAACTTTATTTGTTCTCAACCAGGTCACCCATGAAAACAGACTAAATAAAGTATGAAAACCAATTTTAAGAAAACAGCCATCGGAACATATTTTCTTTGAACCTTTGTTTAAAAAAATTGAAAATTTCTTTAAAACAGTTCCAAGACAAGACCTAAAGCCCATGTCTGCGTTGATTTGTCTTTTAAATGATATGGGGGCTCATGTTAGAGATAATGTTAGTCCAACCACATTCAACAAATGGAAAATGTATAAACTATAAACCAAGAGAACATTGCACCAGACTGACACGGCTATATCATGTGTAAAAGATGACACTTCACAAGGTAATATATTAATATGCAACGTAACACCAAATTGTTCCCCTCGAAAAAAAACTTGAACCACTATGATAGTTTTCTAAGCAGCAGCACACTTATCATGTATTTCATGTTACTAAATATTGAGAATGAAATTTTTTCTTGTAACTAATTCTCTGTTAGTAAGAAATGCTTCTTATTACTATATACATACATACATACATATATATATATATGTATATATGTATGTATATATATGTATGTATTATTAGCACTCAAATAGCTCGAAAACTAGGGAGAATTCCACCTCGTAGAAAAGATGCTTCATGCGGTCACTTATCAGTCTACTTTCATCTCTTAAAGCCAAACTAATGGCAGGATGCAACCAGTGAGCAGTTCTGAGCCACGCCTCAACAGAAGGGTGGCTTGCAGAGACATGGCACCACCATATAGGTCCAGCTGGACGCTTCCAATAAGGTGCTACAAGATCTGCAACTGTAAGGTCATCTTCTTCATCCATAAAATCACATGACATTGAGGCCCATTCAGCATCTACTTGTATTGTTTGAACCAGCTCTGATATTCTATCCCATCCTATAGGTAACCAGCTATTTCTTTCAACTCTTTCTCTTTCACAAAACTGGCTACATTGGCTCTCCAGATCCTCCGGACATGTCGGTTCGAAGAATCTTTTCCTCTCGCATGTATTGGCATTTCCATTATTCGGTTCAGTTGTAGGCACCAGCGTGGTTGGAAACTCAGTATTAATTCGTTGCCTATCTGTCATCTTGGATCTGGATTTTGAATCAATTGATTTCTTTGGTCTCCCAATATATTCAAAAGCACAAATAAGTCCATCTGTCCAAAGATCACCTCCAAGTGCGGTATCCTTGTTAAAGGGTTTGTGGGCTTCTGGTTTCTCCACACTAATTCTAGGAGAGCTATGGTGGACATCCATTTCCTTAAATTTATATCCTGATAAGCAGATAGGGGAAATGACATATCAGCAGCAAAACAAGAATATTCTCATTCTAGAAATGCCCACAACAAAAAAAAAAAAAAAAAAAAAAAAAAAAAAAAAAAAAAAAAAAAAAAAAAAAAAAAAAAAAAAAAAAAAAAAAAAAAAAAAAAAAAAAAAAAAAAAAAAAAAAAAAAAAAAAAAAGAAAAGGGAACCAATATGCCCATGGAAGTTCCTACGTGCAAATTCTTCTTTTCTTTTGGAATAACTACATTGAGTGGGAACTACATAATGTGCGCAAAATTGACAGGAGGAGTGAGATGATGCATGATAAAAACCGTATGGTAAGTAATCGTAGCAATAAAAATGGGACAAATGTAACAATAGATTATGGTAAGTTTAAATACAAGATAGTCATATATTATAAAATCAAATTTGGAAGGAGCACTCCTTTCCACTGCTTAGAATTTCGTCTTCCCTTTCTTCTATTTCAAAATGCTACCAATTCTTAAATGTCATAAAGAAAAGTAAAATACTTTGGATAATGCTGATGGCGACAAATAAAGGAACCATCAACATTGCACGAAACTGATCATCTGCTAAGCTAACAACCACTTAAAATAGTAAAATGATTTTCCCATAGTCGTGGAAGAAAAAATACAAAGCAAAATAACTTATCCATAGCATGGAACATTCTGCTTTTGGCAAAAGATGACATTGATATTGGAAATTTTTAGCTAGATGCATGTTGTTCTTTATCGGCACGCTTTCATATGTAGGGGGGACATGACCTATCTCACCTATGAGATTTTCACAAGCACGTCTGCGCAGTCCTCCATGTTTAAATAATATTTATGGTCCCCTAACCAATGTGAAGCGGATGAACTACTGCTAAATAGCTAAATTCACTAAAATTATCTAAACATGGAGTTTAAATTCACTAAAATTGCCATGAATAATCACTAACATAGAGTTCAAATTCACGAACTAATACTAAATTGAATACTCCTCCGAGAACGACAAAAACTAGTATTTCTTTTATAGGCTCATCTTTCGTGTGAAGTTTTAAATTCACTAAAATTCCCAGGAATAATCATTAACATTGTTCAGTTCAACTCAAATCACCAATATCTGACCAAAAATTTGATATAGGCATACATTCAGCAGAATCAAACGTCAAGACAACCGAACTAAGAAGTTTTTTAAGCAAAATCCCCCCGTTACTCCATTTCGGCAACTCGGATAATTCAATGTTCAACCAGCAAACAAATAATTCTCACTAAAGTGCCTGTTATACGGATCTCGATGCAGAAAAATCGACAAAATTAAGAAAATTTTGATCTCACCGGCAAAGAAAGGCGATCCGGCGAGCTAAAGCAGTAAGTATTGGAGGTAAAGCAAGAGCTGGTGAGCGGCAAGGCTTCAATCGTCGCTGTCCGGCATACTTCTTTCAATTCATTTTTGACATATAACAATTGTCACGTGCTAAATTTCAAGTTAAAATTAAAAAAAAAAAAACATGTATGATTAACTTTAATAAAGTTTCGAAAAAATTACACAAATATAAAACTTTTGTTACATTTTTTTTTAATTGTGTAGCTTTTCATATGGTAATACTTTTAATAATTTGACTCACATACTAAACCTTATATTATCCAATGATTATTGCTACAATATAAATATTTCACTCTTGCTCTAATGTACTCTCGAGTATACAGGAGTTAGATTAAATTGGGGAGTTGGTTAGATTGACCCAAGCAATTCAAGGAGTTCACAGTATAACCCAACTTTGTTTTAAAAAATACTCTTTTAACTTTCAAAAGTATTTCAAAAACACATAAGTATTCAAAAGTTTTATCCTTATTATTATTTTTTTGATTTTCAAAAACACTTTTAGAATTTTTTAAAAAACACTTCGTACCACTTTTCAAAATATAGAAAGTAACATTAAAAAATTTGGAGTTAATCAATTGGATATGGGTAGCGATTTTCGTCCACATATTAACGGTAATAATTTTTAATTTTTTTTTTTTTTATAAACATAAAACATGTTAATGCTATTTTAAAATTTGGAGTTAATCAATTGGATATGGGTAGCGATTTTCGTCCACATATTAACGGTAATAATTTTTAATTTTTTTTTTTTTTTTTATAAACATAAAACATGTTAATGCTATTTTAAAATTTTAGTTGATATTTTTTTTAATATAGTCCATGAGTATTTTTTTTAACTTTTTAAATAAAAAAGTTGAGGGGTATCATGGCAAGAGCATTTTTTAAACACTAAGGATATTTTTGAAATAAATACTAACCGTTTCTAAAAAAAATAATGTTCTGTTGTAATTTTTAGACTTTTATTATTGAAACTTTTAAAAGATTATAATGGGCATTTTTAAAATTTCATTTGTAAAGTTAAAAAATAAATATGAATGACCATTTTTAATTTTTAATTTGTAAAAAACTTAAACCATAAAAGGTATAATTATCCAACAGAATTCTAAAAAGTCATTTTTTTGCAAATTAGAAAAAAAAAAAAAAAAACTTTTAAGTGGACATATTTTGTTTATAAATTATGAGGAGAAATAAAAAAAGACCAAATTTTGCCGGTAATGGCAATTTATTACCGTAGTCCACTGAGTAGGGAATCTAATTTTTATAGCATTCATTTATAAAAAAAAAAAAAAAAAAAAGTTTTTCATGAAACCATATCCAAAATATATATTGCTCAACACATATATACAATATTTCCATAAGAAGCTTAATAATAATAATAATCTATATGTAAATTAGCCTACTTTCGCATGTGCCTCCTCCATATTCGTTTTATTCCCATTTGAATATTTGAAGTTCCCATTCTTGAATCGATGACTCAGCAAAGGTAAACAGACAATGTTCTTAAGATGCACCAAGAACATCAAACATAAAGCCAGCTCCATATGCTGTGATTTTGTCTTTCTTTCTTTCTTTCTTAGTGTACTCTTTTTTAGCTCTTTCTCTTGCTTGTGGTATCCAACTGCTCCATTGCCTGCTTTCTCAAGTTTTCTTATGTTCTTTCTGTTCTTGGTGATCCAAGAAAGCTTTGATTCCTAGGTTTTATGAATCCAAGAAGAAACCAGAGATAATACACAGTTCAGCAGCAACTTAAAGTGATGGGTATCAACATTCTGAGAAATTTGGCACTATTTGCTATCTATACCTTCTTGTTCTTCTCAGGTAATGATGTTTTTACCATTCTTTGTAGCTATTTCTATGCTCATTGTTACCTAAGTTTGAAAGTGAAAGTAAGAGAATAAGTTTTGATGTAGATATGACAATGTCTGCAAACAGAATGATATTTTTTTTAATGGGAAACAAAGGATAACATTCAAAACTGCACTAAGTCCTAACAAAATAACTTGTGTTGTCATTGTCAATTCTACTGCATATTGAATTTTTGATGCAATTCAAATCCACTACATGCTATCCAGAAAAGTAATTTAGTCATAATTCAGTGATTGCAGCAAATTTGACATAAAGAAGGTGAAAATTTGATGCAGTTTTGATCTCGTCAGGTTCAAGTTTAGCATGGAAATCACGTATACAAGAAGAACATCAAGAAAACATACCTTTGAAGAATGAAGAAGACAGAACAATCTTCTCTCCTCTACATTTCACTCAGTTGGTTGACTCTACCATTGTTAATCCAACAACAACGCCAGGACAGTCTGTACCAAACTCAGTAGAACCCAATCTGAAACCCACAACAGGGCCAGGGAGATCTGGTGGAGGTTCATGGTGTATTGCAAGCTCTGCAGCTTCTCCAACAGCTCTGCAGGTGGCTCTTGACTATGCCTGTGGCTATGGCAGTACAGACTGTTCGGCGATTCAGCCGGGTGGTAGCTCCTATGAGCTGACACAGTGAAGGACCATGCTTCTTATGCCTTCGATGACTATTACCAAAGGAATCCAGTGGCTACTAGCTGTGATTTTGGTGGAACAGCACAACTTGTTAGTACAAACCCAAGTATGGCCTTTTCACCTCTCTGACTCATAGTTAACCCCTGTTGTCCCTTGTGGTACACAATTTTAGCTAAAACAGGTCTATTGATTACAGGAGTTTCTACTTAGTCTACTTAACTAGCAAATTTTTTTAGTTAACAATTGCATTTTCCATATTATATTGCAGGTTATGGTAACTGTCACTATGCAAAACCCATAGATCTATCAATTTATGGTGCAAGACCATCAGGCATGCCCAGCTCAGTCATTTCAATATCAAAACGATCAGTGCTACTCTTGACCATGACTCACCTTTTGTGTTCGCTCTTGGAAAATCATCTGTAAACATAAGAAATCTCGTTTCTTCTCTCCACAGAGAGATGGCAATCGCTTATTTTCTGCACATTTGTGCGTTGTTAGACATCACTACGATTAAAGCAAGTTATTGCTGTTATACACCAAGTTATGCATTAGAAAACTAAGAAGTTCATAGTAACATGCATCAGTAGATTAAAGAAATACATGGGTGATATGCTAGCCATACAATATTTGACATTGTTAGCAATAAAATGATATAGATATGTCAATTCCATTTTGGGAGCTCTTAGCCACTAACAGGATATAGATACGTTAATTCCATTTCGAAGCTTTTAAGTTGTTTACAGGCTTTGGCTTACATATGAATTGATTCAATTTTATCTATGATAGGCAACTTTGTCGAGTTTAAGATTGCTCGTTGTGTAATTCACAAATTATACAACAAAAAGTTCACGCTAGAAGGCAAGTTAGTCAATCACAATTGTCGAGATACAATCCAATGCAATCACCAAAAGTAATGATATGAATGGTATTTCCAGTTGACCTACATCCGAAAGAATCCAGCATCCGACTTCATATGATTTTTCTATTCATTCAATGGATTGTTCAATCTGGAATTCTTTCAGATAATTGAATAAAACGATGATCAAACTAAAAAGTTTCTAGGTAAGCTATGAACTAATTCCTTCGAGATAAACTGAATGATAACCTACAAATAAATTCATTAGATGATCCAGTGAGGTAAATCAGGAGACGGAAGATTATACCACGGATGTAGAAGAACGGTCGGGCAAGAAGTGCCGAAAATGTGCTCCGAAATGCCATATTCTCCTCTGAAATTGAAGTTACAACCATAAAATTAACCCAGTTAAAACCAATTGCTCAAATCTTCATGATAAATATCGATAAGAGTGTCTTAAGCGTCGTATAGCAAAACTGGTTTAAGAAGGACGTCCTTGATATCAAGCTTGTCTTATCTAGGATATCATATCATGTCCGTTGCATGTCAAACTTCTCGTGTTATATTACCTTACTATATTTTTTTTACGACTTTCATGATATATAGTTTTTTTTTTTTTCAAATTATATGACTTTTTAGATACATTTATATTTACATCTACATCAAATAGATCTAAATATTTTTACAGGGGATACACCTAGCTGTCAATTATTTTTATTTGAAATTATATGCTATCTAAGTTGTTGTGCGTTCTCTACTCATAGCCTATAACACTTTTTCTTCATTTTTCTCGATCTTGTTTTTTAAAATCTCTATCGGCTCCCATTTTCTAAAATATTCTTTTTGAAGCTAGAAGCTCGGGTATATACCGTTTGTTCGGAGGTGACACGATTTCAAGTTAGCTGACTCACTCAGTAGTAAGAGTGCAATTTTGACACAATAGACTATAAAATTAAACAATATAATAATATAATATAATTATTTAAAATAATTTATTTATATCACAACATTCAATATATCTTCTCTCTTACCATTACAAACAAAATCTTTATATATATATATATTATAAAAAAGTTAAAAGTATAAATAAAACTTGTTAATAGAGTAATAATGTCTTTATTTTTTTCTTAAATTTAAAGGTATTATTAATATTTTTAAACAAATTACAGAATTTTGTTACTAATTATTATTATCTTTTTACAATTACCCTTTCTTTCGTCTGGTATTTTCTCTGTCGAGTCCAGTTCTATGCCAAACCAGAGCTATTGCCATGGCGAATGATCTTCAACTTCTCAATAATTCAAGCACAAAGGCTCAACCAGCAGAATCAAAGTCCGCAGGTTTGCGATTTCTGTTCTTCCAGCTGTTTTTTTCCTCCAATTTTCCTATTCAAGTTACCGTTTGCTCGATCCCATGCCGCTATATTCTATTGTTGAAATAGTTATACAAAAAACGTTCTCTCCTTTACTTAAATTAAGAAGGCGAATGACCTTGAGATTGTATCTCAGTGCAGATAACAGCAATGACTTATGCTAGAACTCCAAAAGGTTCATTGGTTTTAGAGCAGATGAGTCATGGGGTTTCATCTTTTTCTGTTTTTTTTGGCGGGTTTGATTTCTGAGATGTATATATTGCCCCCTGCATTTGTAATGTGTGTTTTTTACTGTATCTAAACATAACGAGAACTTATTCTGAAGTTTGATTTCAGCTCTTAGTTTTGTTTCTGTTCTTTTCGCCAGAGAAACTTAGGATTTTTGGTGTTATGGGTGCTTTTATTGTCGTTGTTATTAGTTTTACAACAATATCAGGAAACTCGACCCTTGGGTCTGAGCAAAATCTCCTTTCAAATGACTTGCTGAGTGGAGTAGCGTGGTAATGGTTATGTTTCCTTCTTGCAGTTGGTTTAGATGAGTCCAAACTTCACGAAGGTGTTCCCAAATGTGGATTGAATTTTGATGAATGGACTTCACTTATTTCAGAGACTGAGATGAAGCACGCGGTAAGTTTTTCTGTAAAAGGACTTCGCGACCCCTTGAACTGCTTTTTACAAACCAAATCTATCAGGAAATTATAAACCTCAAATTTGATTGTGCTTGCTATAACACGGCACCTTATGGGACGAATGTCTCTTTTACAAGCCAAATTTTCCCTGCTTCTATTTGTATTATTCAGAGAGTATCAATATGCTCAAGCCATTTTATTATTTATTTTTTTCATCCTGAACTTTGAATCACTGGTACACAGGATACAATTTTTTCTGTTAGAAAATATTTATTTATTGATTGACAGTCATGAAACAAGCTTTTGAGACTCATTTTCTGCTATCCTGAACTATAATTTTTAAAGAACTAGGGTTTGTTGGATTTCTGAGACCAGATGATTTTTTTTCCAACAAATGCAGGATGTCATTGAGGAGATTTCATTGGTGTATGATTCATTCTTGTCCGAGTTTCCTCTGTGCCATGGATACTGGAGAAAGTATGCAGCTCATAAAACAAGGTTGTGCTCTGTGGATAAGGTTATTGATGTCTTTGAACAAGCAGTTCAATCAGCAACTTACTCTGTCGGTATTTGGGTTGACTACTGTAGTTTCAGCATATCAGTTTTTGAAGATCCAGCTGATGTTCGCAGGTATTTTCTATGAGCCAAGAATTAACAAGTAGTACAGTATAGAGATTTAGAGGTGTGCACGAATTGGAATGCCCTTTGAGGACTGATTATTTCATGAAAACCTAGAATTTGATTGACTATTTTCTATTGAGTATTGGCTTTTGTTCTCATTCAGTTGATTTTCTTGTGCTATGGAGTGGAGGAAAAGAAATGATATATATATTTTTAAGAAGCCTGTGAAGTATATTATTAATTCCAAAAAGTGAACAAACTGGGGGCAGGGGGAAGAGGAATACCTCTCGCAAAAACTACTAAAAATAGCTTTCCAATTGAATATTCTCCTTCTTCTTCTTCTTTATTTTTATTTTTTTTTTTTTTTGCATTCAATTATCCCGTGTACTCAGCTATGAGTTTTCAAACTGTGGACCGAAAAGGTAACGTACATTATTATTGCATGTGCTGCTGAGAGTATAAGAAAATCATTTTTGTGCTTTGATCAAGACGCTTATTGCTGCAAATGAAAACTGTATGCCAATAATTTCCTCTTTTTGGCACATTTTAACATTCCGACTAAGCTTTTGATTATTTTCCTCTATTCCCTTTACTACGCATGTTCATTTCCTTTTCAAAATTTCCTTCGTCTATTTTGTTCGATTTAATCAAAAGAGCAAAATAAACTCAATGGTATTATTCCATATCCATCAGATTGTTTAAGAGGGCAATATCCTTTGTCGGAAAGGACTATTTAAGCTATAGCTTGTGGGACAAGTACATTGAGTTTGAGCTATCTCAACAGCAGTGGGATTCTTTAGCTCTGATATACATTCAAACTCTGAGATTTCCAACCAAAAAGTTGTCATATTACCACAGCAGGTTTGTTTTTCTCCTATTACTTATTGGTTCCCTGCGATGTTTTAGTTGATCATAGAATATTCTTGGAAGCCATGAAAAAGAGCTGCTTTTCTGCAAACCAGTCTCCCTTCTATATTGTTGGCATTATGCTCAAATGTACATTTACTTGGTAATATAGCTAATGGACAGCATTGCATCTGTCAGCTTTAGAAAATTGACCGATTCTCTGAGAGAGAATATCCAATCTGATACCGGGTGCAATCCTTCAATGGCCACAGAATTAGAAGCTTTGCCTAATGGCGAAGCCCCCATCTGTTGTACAGACAACGAGCTATCCTCTGTCATTAAAGACCTTCTCGATCTGTCGACTGGGACAGCAAGGTATAGTGCATTACAGAAGTATGTGCATGCTGGGGAAAAACTCTATGACGAAGCATGGCAACTGGAGGAAAAAATTATTCACTTTGAGCATAAAATCAGGAGGACATACTTTCATGTAAAACAACTTAATGCTGATCAACTGAAGAATTGGCATTCTTATCTGGATTTTGTGGAGATGTATGGAGATTTTGACTGGGTATGTTTCTGAATTGTTCTGATGCTTAAACCATCATTCTCCTTGTGGTTATTCCATTTAATCTGAAGAACCCTTATCTATTAGGCGGTTAAACTCTACGAGAGATGCTTAATTCCCTGTGCTAGTTATCCTGAGTTTTGGATGCGCTATGTGGAATTTATGGAAATAAAGGGTGGAAGAGAATTAGCAATGTTTGCTCTAGAGCGTGCAACAAAAACTTTTCTTAAGGTATACCTATTTACAGTGGGAACATGTATCCTATTCCATATTCATGCAAATAATTTATTATTACAATAAATATCATGTTAGTTTGTATGAGGAAAGCCTTTACCTTTTCATTGCCTATTCTTGCATTGTTCTTTTGCAAGCTTGAGAAAACTTGGAAGATTGTTAATTGAGCATGCCTCCTTTTGTTGACAAGTTCCTACTCCAACTTATATAATCCCCCTATCCATTAAAAAAACAGCTTTTACTTTTTGGGTGGCATAGTCTTTAATGGTTTTTTGTGAAATTTGAAAGGCTAGGAGTAGAGTTATTTTTTCAACATGGGTAGAAATAGAATCCATTACTTTTTAAATGACCTCCCTCTTAAATTTGGCAAAAGCTCTTGGAAGTCTTTGATTAGAGTATAATTTTCTTTATGTCTGGCTATAATGAATATTATAACTTTTTGGTTGCTCGCTTTTATATTAAGAGTTGACGGAGTTTCTTTATAAGTGACTGGAGATGTTTATGGCCATTCTTATGTGTTGGTTGCAGAGAGTTCCTGTTATCCATCTTTTCAATTCAAGGTTTAAGGAACAAATAAGAGATTTATCTGGTGCACGTGCTGCTTTTCTTCCGCTTGATGGAGATTTAGATTCTAACTTTGTGGAGAATATTATATTGAAGGCTAATATGGAGAAACGAATGGTATGAGAAACAGATTAGTAGTTGAATATAATTCAGCTCCATGCACTCATTTGGTTTGATTGAATATTGGCTTATGGATCTATTGTTGTGATCCAGGGGAAATCTACGGCAGCTCTTAATGTTTACAGAGAAGCACTGGAAATGGTTTTGATGAAGAACAAATTGGATGTTCTACCATCCCTGTATATTCATTTTTCTCGGCTTAAACACATGGTATGAGGTTCATGAAATTAACAAAAATTGATGATTTCTGCTGGTAATATGGTTGAACTGACTTCAAGTCTGTTATTATGTCTTTGATCCTCTGGAATTTCTTCTCTTTTTTTTTTTCTCTTTTCATCTGTTTTCTTCTTTATATTTGTTCTATTATGGTCAAGCAATTCTCTTGATATGGTCGTTAGAACTTGAGTTACCAATTTTGATTTGCAGATTACAGGACGTGCAGATGCAGCCATTGAAGTCTTAATAGATGGGATCAGAAATGTACCTCTCTGTAAATTACTTCTTGAGGTATTTCTACTTATGGATTTAGTCTTATAATAGTAAAAGAATGGAGTCCAGTTGCTGCTTCACAGTTTTATGCAGAATCTTATTTGGCTCCTGCCCCTTCTACAGGAACTTATAAACTTCGTAATGGTGCAAGGAGCGCCAAACCTTATAAATTTAGTTGATCCCATCGTCGCTAATGCAATATCTCTCAAGCCAGACGTATCTCGAGGTTGGAGTGAGCAAGACAGAGAGGATATTTCAACTCTTTATTTAAAGGTCAAGTTCCTTCAAGATATTTATGTGTGCATTTTTGTTAATGAGAACACAATTGGGTTAACAAGGGCCAGAATAGAGAAGGGCCCAAAAGCAACTACACAAAAGGATCTACATCACACCTCGGTTAAAGGCCTAGGAAAGGGACAGTCGAATTTAATAAGTCTTAACAAAAGTCTTCTATTAAAAACATTTTTTTTACTTAAAAATTGGTTTTTAATGTGATTCGCTATGTACTGCTTATCTATCAGTTGACCTGGGGAGGGAAACTAGACTACCAAGTGTTTGATCATCTCTTTTTTTACCTTTTTGTGTCCTGAGAAATCTTTCCTTTGGATGTATTATTACAAATGCCAAGCCGTTTTTTTCCCCTTGATGAACATTTTATTGAGAAAGTCATGCAGAACAAAATTTTGGGTAGCTACGCTAGAAAGAGCTAAAAGATCTACCAAATCCCAAGATTCCTCAAAATCTCTCCATTAAAACTACCAAGGGAATAGACTCGTATTTGGGTTCCTCTCTTGGATTCAATCGCAACTATGGAGCTTTTGAAGAACCAAGGTCCAAAGAAATTTTTTTATTTTGTTTGGAGTCTAAGCTCGTCAAACTAGATAAGGAAGAAGATCCCACATCAGTTGGAGAGTAAACGAAATATTCTTTATAAGAGTGTGAAACATCTCTTGAGAGCCCAAAAGGGAAAGCCCAAAAAGGACAATATCGGCTAGGCTAGGCTGTTACACTAACTTATATGGCTCTATGATTTGTTTGAAAAATGAATTGCATGAGAAAGGGACCACAAGTATTGAGCTTCCTTACTTTGACATCTGGACCAAGAGAAATGTTGAAACCTTCCACTTCTTAGAGATCAGAATCCTTCGGTCTTTACCATAAAAAGCCCCACCATGTTCGGTTCAATAGCTTATAGCCTACTTTGGGAGGTTTCCAAAATATATAGGGTGGCAAAAATAATAACTCCATCTGAATTGATTACTCTCAAGTTCTGTTCAATGAAGTCTTTGAAGTCTATATTCTCTCAAGTGTTCTAAATCTAAATTCCTAACCCTATCATTAGAACGTCTATAGTTCTTTTAAAAATGCATGATAGGCACTGATTTTTTATCTTTAGAACACAATCAGGTTCGTTCTAATCTAACACGGATCGCTTCTCTTTGGCAGCAGGCTATTGACCTGTGTGGAACCATTCATGATGTAATGAGGGTGTGGAATCGACATATTAAATTGTTTCCACAGTCTATTAGAGCAATGCCATATGAAGACCCCACATGGACAGAAGCGTTAAAAATGACCAAAGGAGGAAAACAAACATTAGATTCTACTGTAACCAACCAGCCAATCAAAGACGGTCAGCTTGATCTATCAACTCAGCTTCCTCTAGAAGAGAACAAACAATCTCTGCAAGGAAACCAAAACTTCCAGAATGACCAATCTTCCAATGGGAATGAACCAGTTTCCTGTTTACTGGGAAATCGCAATAATGATATGAAAAAATCTGCCATTGATCATATTCATTCTGGAGAAGCTGAAATTGATGCAGAGGCAAGAGTGCAGCAGGATTCTCCAAAAGTTTCTGAGCATTATGGAGAGGGTGGAAATCAGGTTGAATTAACACCAATGCCTATGGACAACTCAAAAGAAGATGAGTATGGCAATGCTTTGGGACAGAATTTGAAAAATCTTTCAATTGGGAGTCTTTCTCTAAGCCCCAAGAACAATGACAAAATAGATGTACTCCCCAAAGCGTCTCACGAAGGGGAAGCTCCCTTTGAGAACAGTATGTCTAGTGAAAGTGTCTGCAATACAGATGAAGGGGCTTTAATACACAACCCACAAGGTGTCAGATCTTCTGGTTCCATCCAGATATCTAAGGAAGTGGCTAGTCCATCATCATCTCCAAGCCACGATAAACCTATACACACCCAAGCGCCTTCACAGTTTCATGCGGGTGCAACTGGAAATAGGAACTGGCACCATAAACATTCTTCTGGTAACTTACATCATGACTCCCAACATCAATTTCAGTCACATTCACGGAGAAGACCTCATCGAACATGGCAAGATTCTCCTCGAGACTACCAAGGAATGAGATCTGGTCAAACACCAGATAGTCAAGATTTTACCTCTGAATCTATTGCTTCACAGGAACCACGAGTTGAACGAAGCAGCCAAGAATACAATCAGATTCAATCTGCTCAGCAGCAGAACTTCCCCACTATTCAGTCTCAACTTCCTTCTCAAGGTTTTCAAGAGAAGTCTCAATATATTACACCAAACGAGGAGCAATATGGTTACATGCAAAGTGGTCAGGCCCCACATACCTATGAACAGATGTGGCATTATTATTACTACCAGCAGCAGCAGCAGCAGCAGCAGTATTTTTTGCAGCAGCAGCAACTTCAACAGTCACAGAATTTTCAACAACTTCAACAGTCGCAGAATTTTCAACAACAGTATAACCAGCAGCAACTGCAAATGCAACAGCATTATTTTCAGTCTCAACAACAATATCCTTACCATGTGCAATTACAACAGCAGTATCACATGCAGCAGCAATTGCAACAAACTCAGCAACAGCAGCATTTACTTGGCCTACAGCCACAAGAAGTCTCCCAGACAGATCAGCAATCATTTAAACAACAGGAGCATCAGCCAGAAAAAATGGAGGAAGAAGAACAAAGGCAGCACACGAAACAGGTTTCGTTGTTTTTCTTTTTCTCATTCGTGGTTGACTTGGTTTCTTTACCCTCCCTTTTGTAGTTGCATTACATGACCATGCTTCACTTTTTAAATGGCTCAGTAAACATAAGTTGAATTAATTGAGAGATGCTGAATTTCAAAGGAATCCAAGTCTATCATGGATGTTTACTGTCCGTAATTAATAATTTCATACAAATTTTAATCCTTTTCTCATTCCCCGATTCTTGAGTCTTACTCCTCATTTCTTGTTTGTAGATGATATTTCTGTCGATGAATCTTATCTATTTGATTTCATGCGATCTAAACTGTTCATCAATTGACAGATTTCAACGAGATTAGCTTTTCAATTTCTCATTTGGGTGTATTCAATTTGGAATCCTTGCAAGTTGAAGTTGTCAGCTTGTTCTTGTATTGAGTCTATTAAATAAAATACGTAATCTAAAATGTGGTATTCTGACAGCAGGATTCTTGACAAAATAGCGGTAGCAGGCTGATCAGGAGCATTACCTGGGCAACCAAATGAGGCGTTTGTGGCAGGTAACTTAGATCATCATCTGAGCTAACTGTAGTTACACACCAAAAATGTCAGCAGCTGCACTGAAAGTGAAGATGGAACTTGCAGATATATCTCGTCGAAAAGGCGAAGCAACAGGATTTCCTCCTCATTGCAGTGCGTTTACTTGGCTGCTGAATCTTCAGAAACCGATTACAAGGTCTGTAATCTTCAATACACCACCTTTTATTTTCAGCTGTCTTGTCCACTGACCATAGCAGGAATCTGTAGAGCAAGATTAGAGATTTATTTAGCTGTGATTTCTGAAGGTGTGAGAAAGAGAAGAAAAGGAAGATTACTTTATAAATTAGACAAGAAGTTCAGCCTACAAAGTCTAGGAAGAAGAGGTACAGCTAACTACTTGAGCAATAGAACAATTTTGCAGGTTGATAGGTGAATAGGAAGAATAGCACTCTTCAAATTGAGGAATATAAACGTTGGGACATGGAAATCATTTGAAAATTCTGCGCTGGTAAGAGGACAAAACAGAGCCATTAACAACTCCAATGGTTCCAACAGAGATTAGGTTGTAATGGCCCCCATATCAACCCTATATAAATATAGAAATTATGTCACAGCCAATTTTGAAACCTATATTTCACTATATTTCCATTTTTTTGGGTTAAAGATTTGTGTTCTTCCATTGAATTGGTTGCTGTTTTGTTACATTTTCCATCACTTCTCCTTCCTTTCTTGACTGCATCTTTCTTTTTTGCTTCTCTATGATTTGTTATGTTATGTTGTTCATAATTCTGAAGTTCTATCAAATTAATATTATTTTTTTTCTTTGTAATTAATAGCACATATTCAAGTACGGAGGAATTGAAGTAAGAAATTTATGTATATCTATTTTGATAATATCATAATTATTATGTTTTTAATAAGAATAATATCGTAGTACAAAACGATCGTAGTTAATCTATGGTATATAATATGAATTTTAACTAGTTGAATTATATTTTGAGTTAATCTATGAACTACCATTTGAATATTTTGTGAGATCTCACATCAATTGTAGAGGGGAACGATCCATTGTTCGTGGGAAAGCTTGATCACGTCTTGATGTTGGTTTGACTATGAGCTTCAGACAAAACGGCAATATTTAAAATCGAAAGATTGAATATTTTTAAAAAATTTTAAGATCCTACATTGGTTGGAGAGGGGAACGAAAACTTCAATATCTACAGATAGTGTGCCAATGAGGAGAAGCTTATAAGGTTGGAGAGGGGAACAAAATATTCCTTTTAAGGTTGTTAAAACCTCTCCCTCACTTTAAAACATTGAGGAGAAGCTTCGAAGAAAACTCCAAAGAGGACAATATCTACAAACAATGTGCCAACGAGGAGAAGCTTATAAGGTTGGAGAGGGGAATGAAATGTTCCTTTTAAGGTTGTTAAAACCTCTCCCTCACTTTAAAACCTTGAGAAGAAGCTTCGAAGGAAAACTCCAAAGAGGACAATATTTACAAACAGTGTGCCAACAAGGAGAAGTTTATAAAATTGTTAAAACCTTACAAAATTGGAGAGGGAAACGAAACATTCTTTATAAGGTTGTTAAAACTTCTCCCTCGCTTTAAAACCTTGAGAATAAGCTTCGAAGGAAAACTCTAGAGAAGACAATATCTATAAACAGTGTGCCAACGAGGACGTTGGCCTTCCAAGAATGTGGATCGTGTGATCTCACATAGGTTGTAGAGGGGAACAAACATCTCTTACAAGAGTGTGGAAACCTTTCCCTAACTCAAGCATTGTAAAACGTAAAACCTTGAGGGGAAGTCTAGAAAGAAAAGCCGAAAGAGAATAATATTGGACTTAGACTATTATATATTTATACTATTTTTTTGATATAAATTTTGGAGAGGGTGATGATTTAGTCGACATTCAGAATTTCGTATCTAAGGAGGAAGAATGAAAAAGGGGAGAATTACCTTATCAAGAATCATAGGATAATAGGATAGGAGAAATATTCTCTTATTAGTTATTCACTGTGAGTGACATTGAGAGACACCCACATGAATCTACCAACCTAACCACATTGCTTTACTTTACATTTCTAAAACAAATAAGATTTAAAAAAAATAATAATAAATAAATGAGAAATTGAGGATGATATATTACAAACTTAATTTTATATTTACCTTTTTAATTTAATATACCTTAAAATTTTTTATTTTGTATTTATTAAATTTTTAATAGATTTAAAACAATTTTAAATTAATGATTGGATATACTCTACACTTTCAAAAATTTATATAATAAGTGGGTTAATTATTTAAAAAATATTAAATAGGTTAATGATTTATTAAGTATAAAATTAAAAATTAAATATATATTTTTCTATTAGACACAAAATAAAAAATTAAAAAAAAAACTTATTAAACATTTATTAAAATATAATTTTCTTATAATTTATAAATAAAATATATATAAAATAAGATAAGATATTAAATGTATAGTTTTACCTAAAAAATATACTAGGAAAAAAAAAAAAGTAATACTAACTTCTTATTATATTATATTATATTATGTTAAAATAATAAAAAAATATATTTAAAAAAAATTGTACTAGGAATGCTTTTGTCGGATACTAAAGGGTGGGGGGTTTGCACTTGTAAAAGGCTGTGGTCCTATACCACGTGATTTTGTTTCATATTTTATTTATTTAGAGATTGCATTGGTCCCTCTTCTTTAAATTTATTCCATTTTTAAATATCAAAATTAAACTTTTATATTTTTAAAAAAATTAAAATTAGTTATTATTAGTAAATATTATTCATTTTAGTAAAATAATAAAAAGATATATAATATAAATATGTATTTATTCTAAAATTTATATAAAAAAAATTAGAAGGATAGAAGTTAATTAATTTATCTAACATATTTTTTTAACTCAAATGTTAAACTTTCCATTTTTTTACAATTTTAACTTTATTTAATTATTAACGGTTAAAATATTTTAATTTGTTAGTTTATGGTTAATTTTATTAGGAAAGAATGTAATTTTTATGAAAATTATTTTTATTGAAAATATAAAAAAAACTAAAATCTAAAATAATGTTGGAACAAATAATAAAATATCTTTTTATTTTTGGAGAGTGGACCCATATTTTTTTTTTTTTTTTTTTTTTGAGAATAAATGGACCAATTTATAAATGCTCAAAGGTGCTGTCCAAATCTTACTCGTGGGACTGCCCACGTTTTTAGTTCAATATACTTTTAAATCTAAAGTTTTAATTAATTTTGAACCAAATATTTTTTTCAGCTTCTAGCAATGGTAAATAAATTATTTTCAGAAAAATTATAATAATTACAGACTTGAGATTACAATTAATTAAACTATTTCACTTTTGCTGACGTCTGCTTACCGGTTGACTTGGCTTGTATTATTATCTTTTAATAATATATATATACATATACATACCATAAAAGCTAGGTGTTAGATTTTTTTTGGTGGGTTGAATTAAAAAAAAGAAAAAAAACTAAAAATTATAGTTGGTTGGTTGACATTTTTTTTTGTTGGGTCAACCCGAAAATATGGTTACAATTCAACCCTATCATATTCTACTTTTAAGATAATTATGAATATTTAAATTTTGTAACATAGTAATGTATGTACGGTATGTACTGTGACAGAATGTTTATATTTGAATTTTATGAAATTTTAGTTACCCAACTTGAAAATATAGAGTTGGATTAGATTGTGAACTTTATTTAGATTGTTCGGACCATCAATCTAACACGAAATTTCGAGTTGGTACAGTTGTACTTGTTGTTACCGGCTCGAAAATATGTCATAAAAAATAATTTTTATTTTTGAAATAAACTAAACATATAAATATAACGAAAATATGATCGATGAGATGTATTATTAATAGAAATGGATATGGATGTGGATAAAATTTGATGAAATGAAAATTGATTTATTACCGTTTATGGATAAAGATTCAGAGGTTAAGAGGCTGAAACCAACAGACATAACAATTAAAAATAATAATAATAATAATAAAATAATAATCAGGAAAAGGAAAAGGAAGGAGGAGGGGAACATGGAGTGGTGAAATATGCTGATCCAAAAACGAAGGCGAGTAAATTCCAAGCTAAACAGAGAGATGGATTGTGAATCGGCGACAAGGGATGACGACGAGTCACTTCTTGGGAAGATAAAAGCCAAAAGCAAACCAGCTCCTCCTAGTTTCTCTGAGTCGTACGGCACCTGTTTCAAGCGATGAATTCACTGATGGAGATAAACCTCCAGCTTCCTCCTTCGTTTCTCTGAACAACCAATCCAACAATTTCACTTCAATCCTTGCGGATACACTCATGGAGAACAATCGGGGAGGAATGGCGGCGTTTTCGTCCTCGGCGGAAAGCAATATCAGGGCTCGACCGAGCAACACCGCTAGCACCGACAACAGAGCTGCGGCACTTGTGCAATACAATGCTGATGCTGGGCTTTTGAACAAGTTTGAGCAATCGGACGCCTTTGGTGAGTCTTTTAACTATTCGAGATCAGTTCTTGAAGCTCCACAGTCTGTACCCGAAGAACAAATTACTGCCTATCTGTCTAAGATTCAGAGGGGTGGAATGGTTCAACCGTTTGGTTGTTTGCTTGCGATTGAAGAATCTAGTCTTAAGATTATTAGCTACAGTGAGAATTGTTTTGACTTATTGGGGATAAATGATCAGTTTGAGTCGGCACCGGGGAAGGGTCTAATTGGGGTTCATATAAGAGCTCTGTTTACGCCTTCCTCCGGTGCTTCTTTGGCGAAAGCTGCTTCATCCAGGGAGATTTCGCTGTTGAATCCTGTTTGGGTTTATTCTAGGAATACCCAGAAGCCATTTTATGCCATATTGCATAGGATTGATGTGGGGATTGTAATTGATTTGGAGCCTGCACGGTCTGTTGATCCTGCACTGTCGCTTGCCGGCGCCGTGCATTCGCAGAAACTTGCAGTTCGAGCCATTTCCAGGTTGCAGGCTCTACCTGGTGGTGATATTGGTGTTTTATGTGATACGGTTGTGGAAGATGTTCAGAAGCTTACAGGGTATGATAGAGTGATGGTGTATAAGTTCCATGATGATGAACATGGTGAAGTAGTGTCAGAAATCAGAAGGTCGGACTTGGAGCCATATCTCGGTTTGCACTATCCTGCCATTGATATACCCCAAGCTGCTCGTTTCTTGTTCAAGCAGAACCGCGTTAGGATGATTTGCGATTGCCATGCGAAGCCTGTGCAGGTCATTCAAAGTGATGAGCTAAAGCAGCCTCTTTGTTTGGTTAATTCAACACTTCGATCACCACATAGTTGTCATTTGCAGTACATGGCAAATATGGGTTCCATAGCCTCATTGGCAATGGCAGTAATCATGAACAGTGATGACTCTCCAACAAGGTTATGGGGCCTGGTAGTGTGCCACCATACTTCACCACGATATGTCCCTTTCCCACTTCGTTATGCTTGCGAGTTTCTCATGCAGGCTTTCGGGCTGCAACTTTACATGGAGCTTCAATTGGCATTACAAATAACAGAGAAAAAGGTTCTCAAGACACAAACCTTACTCTGTGACATGCTCCTCCGAGGCTCCCCTTATGCATTGCTGACCCAGTCACCTAGTATAAAGGATCTCGT